CCTGGGTCACGGCATTGACATGCACAGACCCGAGCCCCAGCGCCTAGCCTACTGATACTGGTTCCGCAGCCGAAGCATCTCTCAAACATTCAAATGCATCTAGGAGAAGGGTGGAGAGTCTGAAGCTAACCTGCAAGCCTCAAATGCTGACCTCTAGATCCGATGCCTCCAAGCCTTAAACTTGAGGCTCCAACAAAAAACAAGACAAAACCGACAAGGAACTACAGTAGAAGGTCCAGGCAAGCCCAGAACCCTAAATCGTAGTTTCCGCCTGAGTTTCCATGTTTTTTCTCCATGTTTTTTTTGTATAATGATTCTCTGTAATTGGGGCGATATCCCAAACTCTCATGAACCCCAAGCTGTATAATCCCTATATATAAACTTGTTAACCTTCACTGGTTACAGCCCTTAAGCACAAAACCCTAAACCCTAAACCCTAAACCTGAGAACCTCTGAGGCGAAGCCTTCCTTCTTACTTGGAGGCTGTCTGGCTACCCTCCTGCGAAGTTCGGGCCTGAAGCAGATGTTTACTTGGAGGGTCACGGGGACTTAATAAGAAGGTTAAAATTCTGGGATATTTTTGGCTATTTCTTAGGTTATAGTAGGGATTAGAAACCTACTTACTAAGCCCCCCTGACCTTCCAAGTACGGAATCTAAACGACAATGGAAGCCAGGGTTATGTTAGAGCTTAGGAAATAAAAGGACTCAGCGCCTGGGAGGTAAGATTTCTGGCTTGGGGTTTAGGGCGTAGGATTTGGGTATCAGAGCTTTGGGCTTAGGGTTTAGGGGCTACGGGTGCTTGAAGGGGAGTTGGAGGGACCATATGTACTATTTCTAGGGGATCATGTGGGGATTCTAGCATGGATACAACTCTGCACTTCCCGTTGAGCACCAGAAAGGTTGGTTCTAAGGGATGTGCTTTCGGGTTCACGGTGTTTGGGTGTGGCTTAGGGTCTCGGATTCAATGTTTTTCAGTTTTTCTTCTCCACACACTGAAGAACAGGGCTCCATGCGTTCCTGGATGAACTGGAGGTGTCCTGGGCGGTTAGTGGCAACTTTTTGCAGGCTCATCGTCTAGTTCTTTCACACACTGGAGAACGCATTCCTGCATGAGTTGGTGAGTTTGAAGCTCCCTTTGCTATCTCCTTACCACAATTGTAGTCAGAGAACCGTAGCTTTTGAGGGATTCGCCATGAGCATCGCGCGTGCGCTTTGAGCTGCTGGTAGCGAGTATGAGCCGCCCAGCAACACTTTGCTCTTGTGCTTTTGGTAGCCCTCCACAACTCTCTGAATCCCAGAGCCCCGAGCCCCTAAATTTCCCGTCCCAAGGCAGAAGAAGCTGGCTGACATGTCTCTGATCTCGTTTATCAAGATCATCGCAGCGGCCTCGGGTTAGGGGTTTAGGATTTTTAGTCCTTACTTACAACCCCAACATACACGCAGGTTCCATTTCATGTGTCCATTGTCTTGTTCTTTTGATTCTCCATTTTAGGGCCTACATACCCTAAACCCTAGACCTCAAACCCTAAACCCTAAACCCTACACTAAAAGTTCCTACAATACCTTCAAGGTTGCTGGACCCTGGATTTGCAATTGAGAGGTTCGGCTTAGGGTTTAGGGTCAGAGCCGGCATGCTGATTAGGATTTGAGAAGTTTACACTAGGCACAACGATTGCGAGCGATATTTGCAAGTCATTGTGTCCAAGAATCCTTAAATAATACTTTCCATTTTTATCCCAATGTAATGTAACCCCAGTATAGCCCCAATATAACGCCAATTACCCACGGTTAACCCTAAACCCTAAATTGGCACCTGAGTCGGAAACAACATCCCAATCAGGGCCGGCATCAGCCCAGGAAATCGTGAATCAAGTCAGGTCCTCTGAGTCCTTTCATTGGCGAAAACTTAGGGTTTTGGGTTTAGGGTTTAGGGATAACCGGCCGAGAGAATTAGCATCTTCATTCCAAGCATTTCTCTGCTAGGAGATACCAGGCTCCAGCTGCATAATAGATGAGGGTTTAGGATTTTCTGGTTTAGGGTTTGGGGCCTAGGGTCTGGGGTCTGGGCCAGGGGCTTCATCTGACAGCATTCATGACATAAATCTTGAACAAAAATGTGGAAATCTCGCAAAGCTGTGCAGGACTTTATCGCTGCTGCATTCCAGATCCATATGGTAGTTTCCCTGAATAAGGGGACCCCAAAATAGACCCCAATATGTAGTACAATCTTTCTTCTAGGGACACCCAAAAAGATATCCATGATTTTGCGAGAAAAAGCCATAATATGCTTTCCGACCTCTTAGGACCTCTTTGGTCGAATAGGTTCAGGGTTTAGGAGGCCAAACGCAGGGGGCTAGTCCAGATTCATGTGGTGACTACGGCACAGCCCTCGCTGGAACCCCCTTAAATCATTACCGATCTTCTATTACCAATCTTCTAGTCCTAGATGCCCTGTATACGTATGGTATGAGTACCTCAAACAGACCTCAATGTGATGTAGGTCATGATTGAGGCCTCTGCAGTAGCTTTACACCCTAATCTAAGCCACGCCGAGCATGGTTTTGTGCCTTGTGCCATTGGCTTTACACTGCGCTGATCCTGAGCCTGTGAAAGCCAACCCGAATATTTCCAAGTTTCCAGTTGACCTACGTACTTCAAAGTTTCCATTTTAAGAGATTCAGAATGCCCAACTGCAAGTATATCCACTCACTAGCGACCCTGAGCTCATTCCTCAGGCCACATGCCCCCGAAAACTGCGAGCCTATCTGCACCACACGTCACTGTAGGCCTCAGACGAGAAGTCCTAGACCCTAACCCTAAACCCTAAACCCTAAACCCTAAAGCAATATCTGCAAAGCTGGGGCCCAATTTCAGATGCCTCCTAACGTTAAAGTTTAAGGTTTCGGATTGAAGGTATACCTGAACCCCAAAAGTATGTAGAATAATGGTTTTTTGGACTATATTTAGGGTTTTTGGGCCATTATTTTATCTACTTTTGGGGTCCAGGTAGGGGTTTAGGGTTCAGGGGAGATAGCAAGTACTCCGCACATCAACTTAACATTTGAATCCTGATCCCAAACCCGGTGCCCTCATACTGTGACCCGCAAACGAGATCCCAGAACTTCTCTAAGCGCACGAAAATTATGGTAGACCCACGGAAGGTGCTCATCATAAAGGGAGAATCTGGAACGTTATCCCCGAACACCTACTGTTGCTGGAAGAGGGGTTCAGGCCAAGGCTTTAGGGAAATTCTGGGATTTTTTGGACTTTAGGGGTTTGAGGTGGTGTAAGATTTCCTCCAGCCACCGTATCCCTGCCATGCCTCAAAAGAAGCTGCCTATTTCCAGTAGGACAACCAGTAAATGGGATTTTCCGCTTCCTGAGGCACAAATCAACAAGTCTCCCCTACTGGCGGAGTATCGCAATCACCCGAAGCTGGCTAAGAGGCACTTGGCTTCAGGTTCAGGATTTGCGGATTTAGGATTTAGGGTTTCAACATTTAGGATTCTAGTGTTTCCCTAAAACCCCAAACCACGAAGCCCTGAACCCTAAAATCCAAGGACAAGTCTTTAGGGTCTAGGATTTGGCGGTTTTGGGGTTTGTGGTTTCAGGCTTCAGCAACTTAGGCCCCTAGGGTCGCAGGTTGAGGTTGAGTCTTCATTTTAAACTTACTGGGGTTGGAAGGGAATAAGGGAATAGATTATACAAGAACTATATCGCGATTACATTCACTTATTCCCTACTACGCACCAGAAAGTTAAAGTTTAGGCTACGGGGTTGTAGCTCAACAGAAACACCCTAGACCCTAAACTCCTTGAAGCTAAGCGCATGACTTAGGGGTTGGGGGTGGAAGGATCCATGTTTTGCAGGCGTGAGGGTGTGGGGTTTCAGGTTCAGGGCTGTGTGGAGTGGGTGTTTGGGTCGCAGGTTTGGGTTTTAGGGCTTAGGGTTCAGGGTTTAGGGATCTGGGTTTAAGGCTCGCGGTCTACGATGATTCGCATGCAAATCTTGAGACAGCTTTCGCAGGGCTTCTTCAGTTTTGTGGCAGTGGCATTAAGGGACTCTATCAAGCAGTCTATGTCATCCACTGTGCAGGCTTCCAAGCTTTTAGCCTGAATTTTGCTCAATCACCAGCATCCTCTTCATCGGTAGTTTGATCATTTTCCATCCGCCAAACCCTCAACCCCTAAAACCTAAACCCTAAACCCCTAAACCCGCAACCCTAAAAACTAAACCCTAAACCCTTAACCCCTAAAACCTAAACCCCTAAACCCCTAGAACCTAAACCCCTAAACCCTAAACCCCTAAACCCTAAACCCTAGGGGTTTCCTGGACCCAAGGGGTTTCTTATTTGTCTGCCAAGTTTAGAGCTGCAGCACATGCTGGAATTTGACAGCAGGACGCAGAATTTAGATTGCGCTTTAGAGTCCCAAATGCATGGCTTAGGCATGAACGGAGGTTAGGAACAGAAGAGCTCTTCACAAAACGGCCCCTTATATGAGGAGAAGGAACTTCCTTGAAACACACACACACACACACACACACCCGCACACACACACAAACACACACACACACCCAC